CTGATATCATAGGAAGGGTTGGCAGAGTCGGGCGGATCGATACGCTCGGGCTGTGGGCGCAGAGAGACACCAATGAAACACTCGTTAATACAATGCAATCAAACGCTGCGTTCACGTGAATACTGACCGCCATATAAGCGGCACAACCGGCCGATCGGGTCTTGGCTTTGCTGTCGACGAGACGGCCACTGATGCCGAAGTCGCAGAGCTTTACCACTCCGTTCTCATTGATCAGAATGTTTGATGGCTTCACGTCTCTGTGAATGACTCCGTGGATGTCCTTCAGATAATTCAACGCTTTCACTGTCTGTTCGGGACATAAAACATAGGAATCGACCGTTAATTGAGTGCAACGGTAGGCAAACTCTAGAGACACAACACTCACGGCTACAGAGATTTTGCCTAAAATGGGTTCAGGAATGGGACGCTTGAACTTCTTGAGCAGTTTGTCGAAACACGTGGTCATGAGTTCCATACAAATCCACACTTCCGTGTCTTTTATGAAATATCCATAGCATTGGACTATATTCGGACAGTCGTGGCAGGCCAACAGGATATCCAAATCCATTGTAATCCGTTTGTTCTCCTCTTTGTTACCACTCCTCCGCATTTGCTGTACGTGTCTTTTATGAAATATCCATAGCATTGGACTATATTCGGACAGTCGTGGCAGGCCAACAGGATATCCAAATCCATTGTAATCCGTTTGTTCTCCTCTTTGTTACCACTCCTCCGCATTTGCTGTGGGATTAGCGCACAGATTAGGATTAAATGAGTGGATTAGTTGCCGGTGACAACGCTCACCTTCACGGCCACCACTTTGCCGGACGGCTTGTGACTCATCTTCACGACGTGCCCACAAGAACCCGATCCCAACTCATCGATATACGAGAGGTCCACGTCTTGGGCTAAGTATTTCTGCAATGAATACACCGATTAGAGGGCACACTATCACTGAGAGGTCACTACTCTCTCTCTCTCTCTCACACACACACAACACACACCTCCCCGTCGACGGTCAGCACAGAATTGTTTAGTCGGAACATTTCGTTGAGCTTCTGGTCGTCGTTCTTGTTGTTGAACTTATTCTCTTCGTTTGGGTTCTGCTGAAGATTTTGCGACAAATTCAGTGGAATTGGTTTAACGTTACGGGAGGGCGAGCCCGGCCTCCCGGGGGACAGACCTCCGCCTATCAGTACTGCAACAG